TGGGCCCCTCCGCTTTTGCAGCCAAGCAGCTTGGCCATGTTTTAACCAGCTGGGGAGCCCGTGCCGCCTCGCTAGCTCTGCCATGCAACACAAATGCTGCCCAGGCAAAGCCCCAGGCTGGTTCGGGATGTGCAGCCCCGCTCTCCCAAGAGAGAAAGCTTCTAGTCCTTTCTCGTCCAGATCTCCCCTCCTAATGAGCCAAGGTCCCGCCATTCCTGCCGCTCCAAGGAAACCATTCAACCCAGAAGCTGCTTTCAAAGGCTTTTGCTGCTGTGCCCTTAGGTAGGGCTGGGCGACAGGCCTGAGGGGTTTCCTCCACCTCCAAAGCCCATGAGTAAGGCAGAAAAGCACCCCGGGGCCCCGTGGGCAAAGCGTTTCTGGTGGGAGACTCTCGTGGAAGCAGCGAGTGTTGCCGATTGGGAGTTGATGCTACCGTTTTGTCCCAGTCTCTGTGTCTCCCCCACCTGCTCCGAGGCGGCCAAGCCGGCCCGTTTGCTCTGTTCCCTTGGGCTTTTCCCCCATGTGCCCATTTTGGAAGCATCCTTGCAGCCCCTGTCCCAGGGGAATGCAAGGATGAAGATCCTGGAGCCTTGGGTGAGCCACAAAAAAAATCACCAGGCAAAAACAGCAACCCCTCGCAACCCCAATGGGAGCATCGCCGTCGTTCGGACTTACGGCTGTTGACCTAGTGTAAGGCTTGTAGTGAGCGGACGGTGGTTGGCACAGGCTACTGGAATACCCTTTAATTGCACAACCATAGGGTATATGGTAGTCCTATAAATAACGAATACAGGCCTGTTGGAGAGCAACCTTCATTCGCTGGCTTTAGCCCGACATCAAAATAACATGGCTCACTGAGAGACATTTTAGTGCATTTACTTATTCTTTAAACCACAGCTTAACACGATGCAGCTGCCAGCAAAAACAGCTGCACAGGCTGTGGGCAACCCCAGCACGGCACTTCAGTCCCGCTCCTAGCCCCATGCGTGACTGAGACAAGGAGGACGACTGCATAACGAATACGATGGTTTGGGAGTTGCTGCATCTGTCACCCCACAAGCATTGCTCTGCCTGTCTGCCCTGGCTCTTCTCATCCCCATCCTTCCTCTGGCACATCTGACTGACCAGCAAAGCAAGTGACCCGACAGGAGGGTGCCCACCACCGCACGGTGAAAGCCAAAAGACGGACATGACAGTCTCTGATGTAACAGCAACATCCCGTGGCCACTGGAAGGTGCCAGGGCATGGAGGGGAATCAGTCTGATTCAGTGCATTAAGCACTGATTTAAAAAGAGAAGAAAGAGGGCCAAGTGGGGAGGAAAACCACTCTTTTTTAAGCTTTCTCCAGATGCAGTCATGGCCCCTTATTAGTCACCATCATCAGACTTTGGCTGGAGGTCTGCTCTTCCCAAGAACTCATATTTCCAAGAGCACCTAAGCGCCTTGGGACCTGGCATCTGATGCTGAGAAGTCAGTTCTGTTGCTCCACCAGCCATCCGTGCCCATGCGTATGGGACATGGGCACTTTCAAAGACATTTACCCAGGAAGACAACTATGCCCCGAAGGAGCAAAATCCCGCGGGGCAAGACTGATCAATGGCAGCAACATGGGCTATCCAAGCACCCACGCCCCACAAGCCCGCTACTGCTGCAGAAGCCATGACCCAAACACCTCCATGGTTGGGTAGCTTGTATTTTTTTATTTTAAACTGCCACTAAAATCAAACGGCTCCATCCTGCCCCCCACACCAGAGGCAACAGCTCCCTGGCTGCTAGCAATGACGCAAGGATCGATCTACGGTCGCTGTCTGCAGCCAACGGTTACCACTGCCCACCGGGGTCCCAGCTGCTCACCTGGGAGAAGGCAGGCACTGCCACGCTGTACGGCCGCTGTTTGAAAGCGTTGGCGTTCTGGGGGGGGAAGCCCTGTGAGGACATGCCGTAGTCCGGCGGCGGGATGGCGACGTCATCCTTATCCAGCAGGTTGCCTGTACTGCTGCTTTTCCCTGGCTGCAAACTGCAAGAATAATCTGTCAACACCCTCCCCAGCCTTCCCCGTCGGCAGCCCGCAGGGACTCTGCTGCTTTTCAGAGGGGGCCTCAAGTAGCAAGCGCAGCAAAATGGCACAGTGCATTTAATCCTGAATCTCAGGAGCGAGTGACAATTTATCAGCTTTCAAAGACATGAACGTGTCCTCTGGAGACCGTCACTTCTCCAGCTGATGGGGGTGAAAGACCCTGCAGTGCAGGGAAGGGACGTCCCTTTATGCCTGAGCCCTGGTCCTCTGTGCCAGTCTGACCCAGAAGCCCCTTTCAGGTTTATCTGGTTGCTGAGAGTGGTCCCACCGCCTGGTTTTGCAGGTGGACGGGCACCACAATGCAAGGTCCTTTGAATCCCTGTGCATGAGATTTGCAACCCTGTGAGGGGGCTGAAGACAGAGGGGCAAGAAGAGGGGACCACTTGCCAGAGGGCAGAGGACCCGCTCTTGCTGGGCACTTGGGAGCTGTTGGCATGCCCCTGGCAGCAGCCCTCGGGGAGACCATGCCCTCCCACCCCTGTCAGCTCTGGCTCCTTCTCCCTCCCTCAGCTCCTGCATCACACTGCAGCAATGTCTGAGGTGGCACATGCCATGTGCCACACCTGTGTGCTTGGGGTTATTCTTGGCATACCCATGGAAACAAGACCCAGTGCTTCAATAGTGGAGCTGGGAGAAGCCAGTCACATTACTCCCTCATGTCCCTCATGCAAGCAGCCCAGAGCCAGCAGCCCCATGTCTCCCAGCACTACGAGGAGCCTGCTGCCCGAAGCGGGGTTTTACCTGGCGTGAACTCTGCTGCTTCCATCGCTGTCCAGAACCCGCGTGTACGAGAAGGGGAACCAGCCTCTCCTGCAAGACAGAAGTGCGAGGAAGAGTCAGCTTCCCCCTGCATCTTTGCACAGATGTGTTTCTACGCTGGACTCTAAAAGGACCCCACCTGCCTGCATTGCATCTCCCCCCCCGACTGCCCTTTGGGAGCCGGCAACTCGATCAGCTTCCTAGACATGTCTCAGAACCAGTAAGGAAGATGCTGTGAAAAGAAAGTCACTCCCAGCCTCCTTGTCCTGCTCTACAAGTGTCTGCCCTTCACCTCTCCATCCTGCAGTGACCTGGCAGGAGACGGGGAAGAACCCGGCAGAGTTTTTTTTGTAATCTCCAGGGAGTTCATACAGGGCTAAACTTGCCCCCTGGGGTCTTTTGCTGTGGGCTGCTGGCCCTTGCCAGCTCAGGCTTCTGCAGGGAACATGCGCTTTGCAAAGGTGGGTAATTTCAGAGGGCTGGAGTTCGGCATGGAGCTGCGCCCCACCATCAACACCCTCCCCTGCCAGTGGCGGCCAGGGATCCTGCTGCTTTTCAGAGGGGACCTCAAGTAGTGAGAGCAGCAAAACGGCACAGTGCATTTCGTCCTGAACCTCAGGAGCGAGTGGCAATTCACCAACTTTCAAAACGGCAAACGCACCCTCCGGAGACAGTCACTTCTCCAGCTGATTGGGGTGAAAAATGTGCAGAACGTCTGCTTTGCAAAAGGGGGTAAGACCCCCATCACCCTCCTTCCTCCCCCCTACCGAGACTCTAGCAGGTGACAGCCACCCGCGTGCCTGCTACAGGAAAGCAGAACGGCAAGAAACGAGTCGATGAGAGGCCCGGCAGAGTAATGACTCACTTGCTCAGCCCCTCGCTACAGCCTGGTTCTGCTAATTAGGTCAGTGCTTTATCATGCCCCAGCCATCAAATTCGGCTAAGCCGGTGTTTCATCTTAGAATCACAGACAAGGAGGGTGGGAAGGGACTGCAGGAGGTCACATCTAGTCCAGCCCCCTGCTCCAAGCAGGACCAGCCCCAACTCCATCATTCCAGCCAAGGCTTTGTTTAGCTGGGTCCTTGCTCAGACAAGGCCAAGTTCACAAGGTGCCTTCTAGCCTTGCAGGAAGGCACGGAGCAGGATGAAGGGGCAGCTGCAAGACACTTGCTGGTACTTAACCCAACCCAAGCCTCTGCAGTCCAGGGGGGCTCTAAACCAGCGGCACGAAGGGGTGGGGGCTCTCACATCTTTGTCTTCTCGCTCTCTCCATAGTGCCAGCCGTCCCGGGCCTCGGG